GTGGTCCCAGCCACCTAGGAGGCTGAGGTGGGAGGATCACTTGAGCCCAGGAGTTTGAGGTTGCAGTGAACTATGATGGAACCACTGTACTCCAGCCTGGACAACAGAGCAAGACCCTGCCTCGAAAAAAGAAAAAAAAAAAATAGCCGGGCGCAGTGGCTCAAGCCTGTAATCCCAGCACTTTGGGAGGCCAAGGCGGGCGGACCACGAGGTCAAGAGGTCAAGAGATCGAGACCATCCTGACCAACGTGGTGAAACCCTGTCTCTATTAAAATACAAAAATCAGCCAGGCGTGGTGATGCGTGCCTATAGTCCCAGCTACTCAGGAGGCTGAGGCAGGAGAATTGCTTGAACCCAGGAAGCAGAGGTTGCAGTGAGCTGAGATTGCACCACTGCACTTCAGCCTGGTGCCTGGCAACAGAGCAAGACTCTGTCTCAAAAAAAATTAAAAATTAAAAAATAAAATAATAAAGAATGGACAAATAATAAAAGTTTGTTGCTTAAAGTGCAAAGCTCGCACTCATTCAGAAAAAGCTCAGCGAATCCAACATGAGTTTTTTTTTTTTTGAGACAGAGTCTCAATCTGTCATCTAGGCTGGAGTGCAGTGACACGATCTCAGCTCACTGCAATTTCCCACCTCCTGGGTTCAAGCGATTTTTCTGCCTCAGCCTCCTGAGTAGCTGGGACTACAGGCACATGCACCATGCCCAGCTAATTCTTGTATTATTATTTTTTTTTTTTAGTAGAGACGGAGTTTCACCATGTTGGCCAGGATGGTCTCGATCTCTTGACCTCGTGATCCACCCACCTCAGCCTCCCAAGTGCTGGGATTACAGGTGTGAACCACTGTGCCCGGCCAACATGACTTCTGCAATTCTGGACAATGGAGGTGTCCTGCACCCAGTGCTGTGCTGATCCGCAGGTCCGCCCTGAGAGAGGACCAACACCTGCCTCCCTGTGCAATGCTGGCTCCGAGCCCACCCAGAGCACCTGGGAGCATGTGAGCTCCTACAGAGCCTGTCTCTGTGGTCATGATGCTCACCTCACAGCTCAGGCTCCGGACACAGGCCTGGCGGACAATGCTGAAGAGCTGGGGGTGGCTGGGGTGCTGGTGGCTGACGTATTTAATGGAGGTCTCTTTATCGTGGCTGATATACCCCGGGTGCCCTGCAGCAAGTGACCGGCAGCCCTGTCCACGAAAAGAAAAAGAATATGTGTTAGTTGGGAAGCAGGGCAGCCAACTCCCTTAGGCTTACGCAGATCCAAGCTCAAACAACTCAAGCTATTTTTGTACAAAAATAATTGGCCTCTAGATTTATACTTACCTGAAGATTTAAATGTATCCTAAAGAAGAAAACAGAACACAGAGATCACAGAGATTGCCAGAGGTTGTTCCTAACAGGTATTTGCTGAGCGCGTAATGAAGCAGGCAACATGAAAAGGGCCCTGCACACTCCATCTCATTCAATCCCAGGTGCCACCCTCTGAGATAATGTCAGTGAGAAGCCCCATTCTACAGAAGACAAAACTGAGGCTGAGGTGGGAAGTAGCTGGCCTGAGGGTGACGGGCTCCGTGATGGTAACATTACCCACTTTCTGGGTGATGTTACCCAGCCTCTGTCCTTGGTCCTGAACTAACATCTGGAAGTGGCCTCAGCCACAGGTGAGAGACCCAATAAACAGTGTGGGTACCAAGCCCCAGAATGTTGCTGTGGCAGCTCAGACCAGCTGCTGCCCCGCTGTAGCCGCAGCCACTCCCGTGCTGAGGCTGTGTGCCCTGGAGCTACCCCTACCCCAAGGCTGCACAGCTGGGCACCAGGCAAGCCCCTCCCCACAATGTCACAGGATTGATTCCTCCAAGGGCAACCCTAACACCAGCTCGAGGATGCCCCAGCGGCCTGGCGGCGCCTTCCTTCCCAGGTCTGAGGTGCTCCCCACGCCCCATTCCTCAAAGGTGTTTCCTGCAATGGATGCAGCTTTCAAACATCCTCTGCTTCTGCAGAGGAATCAAAAGAACAAGCTCTCAGCCGGGCGCGGTGGCTCACGCCTGTCATCCCAGCACTTTCGGAGGCCGAGGTGGGTGGATCACGAGGTCAAGAGATCGAGTTTATTCTGGCCAACATGGTGAAACCCCGTCTCTACTAAAAATACAAAAATCAGCTGAGTGTGGTGGCGCATGTCTGTAGTCCCAGCTGCTCGGGAGGCTGAGGCAGAAGAATTGCTTCAACCTGGGAGGCAGAGTTTGCAGTGAGCCGAGATCGCACCACTGAGCTCCAGCCTGGTGACAGAGCATGACTCTGTCAAAAAAAACAGGCTTGAGTCCTTGTCTGCACTGCAGTGGCAGGTCCAGCACCCAGCCCTGATGTCAGGCCCTGACCCCGGTCCTCTACACAAACAAGGGGCCCAATGGGGAAAACTCACTCATTCCTGAGAGCTCCAAAGCCAGTAGTGACCCACTGAGAACACAGGGTGAGGGTCCTGGGAGCAGGGGGCTTTGGGGACCCATATCGAGAACAGGCTGGAGTGTGTGAACACAAACAGGAAGGCTACAGCAGGGAGGCAGAGTGGGTTAAAAAAGCTAAAGTCGGCCGGGTGTGGTGGCGAACACCCGTAATCCCAGCATTTGGGGAGGCCGAGGCAGGTGGATCACCTGAGGTCAGGAGTTCAAAACCAGCCTCACCAACATGGTGAAACCCCATCTA